CATTAAGGGAGTTTGTGCACTTATTTCCTCAGTTTCTACATATTAGCTTTCTATTAGTTTGGGCTTCTGATGATTCTGACACTTTATACACTTCTCGTCTCCTTTTATCTGGCTGTAAACATCATTTTCTATCAGTTTTTCCTTATAAACAGCAGGCTCAGTCAGCCTCATGGCTCCGGGACGCCCGGCTGCTGAGATCAGCATCAATACAGCGAGACAGCGAGTCGGCAAGAAACAGAATTTCCCAAAGCATAAACGAAACGGGATCCGTGCAGTTTTGCAGGTTGGGTTTAATCCCGATGGCACGCTCAAAGCACAGTGTGGATTTTTACAGCAGCTAAAAGGCAAAGCGGGACGACTACAACAACATCCCAAATACGCCAATATATACAGTTGAAGTCAAAATTACTAGCCCAAATATCAAATATTTCCCAAATTATGTTTAGCAGAGCACAAAATTTTCACAGTAGTTCCTATGAAGTTTTTTCTTGTGAAATAAAGTCTTATTTCAGCTAGAATAAAAGCAGTTTTTAAATTTTTAAAACCCTTTTAGGGTCAATATTATTAGCGCCCTAAAGCTATATTTGTTTTCGATGGTCTACAGCAGTGGTTCCTAAAGTGGGGATCGAGACCCAATGGGGGGTTGCGGGGCCAATGAAGGGGGTTTGCTTGGTAATTTCCAATAATCAAATTAATTTTATTTTTTAAGGTCACTGGTTCAAGCCTCGGCTGGGTCAGTCGGCTTTTCTGTGAGGAGTTTGCATGTTCTCCCAGTGTTGGCGTGGGTTTCCTCCGGGTGCTCTGGTTTCCCCCACAGTCCAAAGACATGAGCTGTAGGTGAATTGGGTAAGCTAAAATTGGCCATAGTGTATGAGTGTGAATGAGTGTGTACGGATGTTTCCCAGTGATGGGTTACAGCTGGAAGGGCATCCGCTGCGTAAAACATATGCTGGATAGGTCGGCAGTTCATTCCGCTGTGGCGACCCCGGTTTAATAAAGGGACTAAGCCGAAAAGAAAATGAATGAATGACTAACTATTAGAATGACCATATTTTATCCATAACCTATTGGAGACAGAAATAGTAGTTTATAGTTACAGCCTAGCAATTTTTTTATCTACTGGATTTAGGGTGGTCACGATACTTGAATTTAAAATGCTCGAGTGTCCATGTATTTTAAAGAAGGAAAGCGAGGCTGCGATAGGAAGAAACCCGAAAGTATAGAATCAGCAATGTAAACATTGCAACAACATGCTGTGGACTACAAACTTCTAGCTGTTGCCGCGATTTCACAGTGCAGTTGTGGTGTAAACATCACTTTAATATCATTCAGTGAAGTTTAATTTAAACAATTAAAAGCACATTAGGCATCAAACTAAATTGCAATTTCTTTAAGATTAATATGCTTAAGTGTCCTCCCAGGCTTCAGCTCATTGCACCAGGTAAACACCGTGATGACGCTTCTTTGCTTCAGCTTTATGTAGCACACCCTCGTGTTGTCTGTAATAGTGTTGTCCCGATACTGAAGTTTTAAACACGTCCATTTCCCGCTAACATTTAAGTGCAACTGATTTGCCATAGTGTTCCCCATTGCTCAACAAAAATGTCTGTGATTGGCCATGATTGTCATCAGTTCACTTCTCTTCACCGAGTGCCAACAAAGATACACGGATACAATCACAGTCATTTCTGTTGAGCGCGTGAACACAATGGCAAATCAGTGCTGTTTAGGAACACCTTCAACAGTGCCTTAAATGTTAACTGGAAATGGACGTTTTTTTGTTTTTTTTTTTCAGTATCGAAATTTAGTATCGTGACAAGCTTAATATAGTAAAAAAATCAGTTCATGACTTCTAAAACGTGTGTTTGGGAAATAAATTTTAGCTAATTATTTTTAAAATTACTTTTAATTTTCACTTTTCATTCAGAACAGACCTTCGGGTCACTCAGGAGGCAGTGAAAGTATAAATTTGCGTCACATTCTGTTCGCTGATAAGATCTACAGCCAGGTAAACAATATTCCTGTGTGACTCAGGCGATACTTCCAGATTTCTTCCCACGCAGCCTCAGTTTTGCTGTTTAAAATGGCGGCCACGGGAAATCTTCTATAGTGTTGTCCCGGTACTGAAGTTTTAAAACCGTTCATTTCCCGCTAACATTAACATAACATAACAGATACACGGATACTGGAGTGTGAAGCAGCCGCAAAGATTAGTCGATTCATCAGCGGATTGCTCATCTGTGTTTGCACTCGCCAAACATCAGTGAAGTGCAGTGAACTGATGACCTTCACGGCCAATCACAGTCATTTCTGTTGAGCACGTGAACACAATGGCAAATCAGCACTGTTTAGGAACACCTTCAACAGTGCCTTAAATGTTAACGGGAAATTTACTTTTTTTTGTTTTTTGTTTTATCCGTATCGAAATCCAGTATAGTGACAAGTTTAATATAGTAAAAGAATCAGTTCATTACACTGAGTTTGATAAATAGCATCTAAAACGTGTGTTTATGAAAGAAAGCATTAGCTAACTAATGCCATTTCCCTTAACTTAGCTGAAAATGAAGTCAGATATCCCTTTTTATTTTCACTATTTATTCAGAACAGACCTTCGGGTCACTCAGAAGGCAGTGAAAGTATAAATTTGCGTCACTTTCTGTTCGCTGATAAGATCTACAGGTACACAACGTTCCTGTGTGACTCAGGCGATACTTCCAGATTTCTTCCAACGCAGCCTCAGTTTTGCTGTTTAAAATGGCGGCCACGGGAAATCTTCTACAGTGTTGTCCCGGTACTGAAGTTTTAAAAACATTCATTTCCTGCTAAAATTTGCTGAGAGCGTTCTTAAACAGCTAATTTGCCATAGTGTTCACCAGTGCTCAACAGAAGTGAGTGTGAATGGCTGTGAAAGTAATCACTTCACCGAACTTCACCGATTGCAAACACAGATACACAGACACTGGAGCGCTTCAAAGCCCTGAAGATCAGTCGATTCATCAACCTGATCGCTCATATGTGTTTGCATTCTGTAAACATCAGTGAAGTGTGGTGAACTGATGACCTTCACGGCCAATCACAGTCATTTCTGTTGAGCACGTGAACACAATGGCAAATCAGCGCTGTTTAAGAACACCTTCAACAGTGCCTTAAATGTTAACAGGAAATGGACGTTTTTTAAATTTTTATTTTAGTATCGAAATTCAGTATCATGACAAGTTTAATATAGTAAAAGAATCAGTTCATTACACTGAGTTTAATAAATGACATCTAAAACGTGTGTTTAGGAAAGAAAGCATTAGCTAATTAGTGCCATTTCCCTTCACTTAGCTGAAAATGAAGTCAGATATCCCTTTTTATTTCACTATTTATTCAGAACGGACCTTCGGGTCACTCAGAAGGCAGTGAAAGTATAAATTTGCATCACTTTCTGTTCGCTGATAAGATCTACAGCCAGGTACACAACATTTCTGTGTGACTCAGGCGATGCTTCCAGATTTCTTCCTACCGCAGCCTCAATTTCGCTGTTTAAAATGGCGGCCACGGGAAATCTTCTATAGTGTTGTCTTGATACTGAAGTTTTAAAAACATTCATTTCCCGCTAACATTTAAGCGCCGCTGAGCACGTTCTTAAACAGCTGATTTGCCATAGTGATCACCAGTGCTCAACAGAAGTGAGTGTGAATGGCTGTGAAAGTAATCACTTCACCGAACTTCACCGATTGCAAACACAGATACACAGACACTGGAGTGCTTCAAAGCCCTGAAGATCAGTCGATTCATCAACCTGATCGCTCGTCTGTGTTTGCATTCTGTAAACATCACTGAAGTGTGGTGAACTGATGACCTTCACGGCCAATCACAGTCATTTCTGTTGAGCGCGTGAACACAATGGCAAATCAGCACTGTTTAAGAACACCTTCAACAGTGCCTTAAATGTTAACGGGAAATGGACGTTTTTTAAATTTTTATTTTAGTATCGAAATTCAGTATCATGACAAGTTTAATATAGTAAAAGAATCAGTTCATTACACTGAGTTTGATAAATAGCATCTAAAACGTGTGTTTAGGAAAGAAAGCATTAGCTAACTAGTGCCATTTCCCTTCACTTAGCTGAAAATGAGGTCAGATATCCCTTTTTATTTTCACTATTTATTCAGAACAGACCTTCAGGTCACTCAGAAGGCAGTGAAAGTATAAATTTGTGTCACTTTCTGTTCGCTGATCAGATCTACAGCCAGGTACACAACATTCCTGTGTGACTCAGGCGATGTTTCCAGATTTCTTCCCACCGCAGCCTCAATTTCGCTGTTTAAAATAATACATCAGTCTATAGACATGAGCCTATTGATGTGTGTGCACCGTCGCATGCAAGGTTTCTATTTTTATTACCACCTCAGAGGTTATTGAGTGTCACAAGTCACTGGCATTGTTGTTTTGGGGGCTTAAAAGTTTGGGAACCCCTGGTCTACAGTACAAACCATCTTTATACTATGACTTGCTTAATTAACCTAGTTAAGCCTTTAAACATCACTTTAAGCTGCATATTAGTGTCTTGCACAATATCTAATCAAATATGATGTGCTTTCATCATGGCAAAGATAAAATAAATCAGTTATGAGAAATTGCTCAAGTTTAGAAATGTGTTGAACACATCCGCTAAACAGATATTGGTGGAATAAAATATAGAGGGGGGAGTTTAACTCTATATGCATGCCTAAAATCTGTTATGACATTTGCGAAAAGCACTTAAACTGCAAGCCCCCAGTCATGGAACTTTTTCACCCATTCAAATGTGAATCGGCACACTTAGCGGGGTCAGATTGCTCCAGATCCTGACCTTTTATTCATTCAGCATTGGACAAGAATGGCTACTGGCCCCTGTGACGGAAACCCAATGTCTTCAGACCTGCAAGAGAGACGGGGAGGAAAAAAAAAAAAAAACACAGGAGGCGACACAAATGCACCCTACGAAAAAGAAGACGACGACAGATCAAGCAAACCTTTTCACCATGTCCTTGAAATACAAGCTGCAGGAAGCTAGAACATTTTGATGGACTTCAAACTCTTTGCCTTCAACAATTATTTTCAGGTCTGTAAACTCTTTCTCTCTCCGCTGCTGGTTCAATTCCTTCAACATTTCTGTAGGAACGAGAGAAAGAAGAGAAACAGTGATTTGCACGCGCTTGGAGATCGAAAACACACACAGCATTTGACGACAATCATTGTGTTTGAAGGAAAACAAGACATTATTTGGCTTGTGCAAGGAAGCGGAGGAATAAAACCGTCAAGCATGAAGGAGAAAAAAAAACAATAAGAAAAGTGAAGGCCGGAGGTCAGCGCTCGCATTGAAACAAATGATGTGTATGGCTTAAGTTTTGATTTAGAGCAACATTTCAGTCAAATATGAAGCTTTACCTCTGTTTATTCAATCCTCTTTGAATTTCAGTCAATTATGGGTAAACTACTACATTCAGAGTCAACAGAGTGATTAAAAAAATGAATAAATAACACACCTTAAATTAAAACATGTACATATTTTAAATTAATAAATAAAAATAAAAATAGAAACGACCAAAAACATATAAAATCATACATTTTATAAACAATAAAAAATATATTATTAAAGAACAATAAACAATACACACTTAACAACATG